TGCAGTCAAAGGCTTTGCTGTAGTCTATAAAGCACATGCTGATTTTTTAGGAATGCCTTGTATCCATAGCTTTTCCTTTGCTTAAGTGATGCAGATCGAGAGGAAAGCTACCCTGTTTCTTCTTGTCTTTTCATTGCCTGAGTAGTTTTCTGATTCAAAGTGGCCCATTCCTGTCCATTTTAACTCACTCACCGCCAGTACTGTTATGTTCATGAGTTCCAGTTCCATTTCCACTATGTCTAGCTTCCCTTGGCTCTGGCTCGTCATATTCCACATCCCTCTCTTATGTGTTATGCTGCTTTGGATGTTATTTGCCTTTCTAAGGGTGTCTGCTATTTGTCTTGTCATTTTCGTATGCCTTTGGCTAATCTTGCAAATGTGATACCCCTTTATCTCTCCCTCCTTCCCTTTCTGTTAATGCTCTGATCCTGCCTGTGTCTCACTTGGGGTGTCTCATCATAGGGTTTTTCTAGGTGATGGGGTTACACAAGGAGGACCACCTACTCCTCCCAGTGCACAGTGCCAACCAGTGTTAGCTATGGTGTCACTACAATTCACTCCCATCAGTGACACCCTTCACTACTGCTGCTGCCAAGTAGTTGTTTGTCTCCCTATATGATTCCTCCCGTCATCATTTGTTTGCTTTCCTACCCATCCCCTTATGCCTCCCTGGGTTTCCCTCCTTCTCTTCCCTTGTGTCCTCCCTCCTTTAGTCCATTCCCATCCCTACTCCCTCCCTCCTTTAGTTCCTTCACTTCTTTCTCTGTTTTTGGGGAAGGGCAGAGATGGATGGTCATCTTCTTCCTTCCTCCATTCGCCTGTCTGGTCTCTAGCGGCGTTCTGTTCTCCGGGTCAGATGGGGATGGAGAATGGGCTGCGTTGGTGCTTTGGCAACCCTAAATGTGGTTTTCTGGGCATAGTTTGTTCAGAGGAGGATTGCCATTGCTTTCCCCAGAGGCTTGTGACTTGCCCAAGATCATAGGACTGCACTAATATAGCACGAAAATCGGAAAATTAAGTCACAAAATGCAGTTCTGATGTCATGGCCCCCAGCTGAAATAATCATTTTTCTTTTTTAAAAAGTGCTCTTTTAAAGCGAGTCGTTTTGGCTGAGCTGATGGAGTTGTTTCTGAAGGGCCTTTCGTGTCCTATAGAATAAAACAATTGAAAAGAAGCCACTAATGCTGAATACTGGTCTAACAAAGGAAAACTGCCGATAAACTGTTAAAGTTAAAATGTTAAAATCAAACAGCCATTGTTGTTCCAGTAAGAGAGATGGGAAATAGTAATAATAAACAGACTTTAAAAATATATATATGAATACAGTTGCCTCTCCGTTTTCGCAGGGATCCCTTCCAGACATCCCCCCACGAAAACAGAAAAACACCAATATTCAAGCCCTATTGGCTTGAATGGTGATGCGTGCCTACAAGCACAAACCCAATTTAACCCTCCTTTTGCCCCCTGCGAATGGGCGAGGGACACAGGCTCAAAGTCCGCAAAAACGGAGGGGCAACTGTAATCAATTTTAAAAAGGATTTTTTTAAAAAAAGTCATTTGGTTTTAATCAAGGTTCAAACCAGCCAATCCAGCCTCCAGATGTTTTAGATTACAACTCCACAACCAGCAGTCATTGATCACAGTAAGTTGTAGTCCAAAGCATCTGGTCAGCAGCAGCACCAGAGCATTGATCTTGTACTTAGCATCCAAACATCTTCAGGGTTAGTGGCTTCCCTTGTCTGTACCACAGTTTTCTCTGAGGGTGCATCTACTTGTTGTTGTGTGCCTTCAAATTGTTTCTGCCTTATGGCAACCCTAAGGACCTTATCCCACGCTGCTCTCAAAAGTGGC